GTCTAGGGGGTGTTCAGGGTCTCACTACATTGGGCTCGTAGTGATCCGCCTGTTTACAGCCTCCTAAGAGCTGGGCTTACAGGCGGGCACCACCACACCCAGTCTCTTGGAATGTTTGTTGAATGGACAGGTGTGCAGGGTCTTTATGACAGACACATCAGTGCTTAAATGTACTGAAGCGCCTGCATCCTGTGAGCAGGAAGAGGTCAGTCTTGTTGACACCCTCAGGATGCCTGCTTCCTGCATTTCTCATGCTTTGGGGACTGATGATAGCGGGATATTTGCATGCCAAGAGAAGTTGATCTTTGGGAGACAGCAACCTGTAAAGATCCCTTTACTCTGGCTGGGTGCCGGTTCCAGATCTCAGAATTAGCTCAGTGAGCCAACCTGGACACGTGGAGTGCTGTTTGGCAGCCGAGAGCTTTGATAAGAGTTACCTTATGACCTCCATGAGAAGGAAGAGTAAGGGCAGGCCTGCAGGTTGGAATCATCTTGCAAAGAGAGGCAAGAGCTAGCGTAGAAACCTCTGCTCTCTAGCCGGGGGGAAGCAAGCGGTACGGGTATCAGGAGAAGCAGACTGTGCTTTACCATAGTTGCCTGGTGGCACTGTGCACCTTGACGCTTTCTTCTTCTTCTTTTTTTTTTAAATTTTATTTATTTATGGGGGGGCAGCTCAGACCACCAGGGGGCGTGACTGGCTGGCATGTGGTGCTGGGGTATTGAACCGCGGTCCCTGTGCTTTGCGAAGCTTGTTCCAAGTAGGAGCTTTAGACCACTGAGCCATCTCACCAGCCCCGACGCTTTTTCTTGAGAGCCAGGGGAACCCTGCCTTAGACAACTCCATGTGCCAAGGACTGATTTAGACCCTGGGAGAATGGTTGAGAAGGCCCTGTTTTCCACACCTCCTTTTGCCTCCCCAAGCTGGGCCAGAATTTTGATACTGCTCTAAATCCAGGATCCCTGTTTTTTTTTTGCTCGAGCAATCATAATATATATTATTCCTGAAAAATATACTTTGTGAAAACACTAATCTCCCCTTCGCTTTGGCTGTCTGGCTCCTGTGCTCACGTGGCACATGGCTGTGTAAGAACGAATAAAATCAATGTGTCTAGTTGTTGAGCCAGTGATTATTCCTTTCTAGGATTGGAGTGTGTGTGTGTGTGTATGCATGCTTCTGTCTGTACTAGGGATTGAACATAGGCCTTTGCACTGAGCTACATCCATTGCTCTTTTAAAATTTTTATTTTTCATTTTGAGACAGGTTCTCACCAAGCTGTTAAGTTGCCAGGCTGGGTTTGAACTTCAGACCCTCCTGCCTCAGCCTCCCACAATACTGGGATTATAAATTTGCACCACCATTTCTTTTTTTTTTTCTTTTTTTTCGGAACTGGGAATTGAACTCAGGTCCTTGCACTTGACACGGAAGTGCTTATTCCACTGAGCCATCTCTCCAGCTTCTGCACCACCATTTCTGACAAATGTATTCTAATGGTTCTGATCTTTCCATACATGTCTCATAATATCCAGGTACAATTATTGAGTTTTTATTTTTGTCTCTTCTATTGAACTGAGCTGAGTAGCAAAGAGTTGAAAAATGTGGGAAGGGTACAGAATGACATAAAATCTGACTTCTTCAGAGTAATCTTTTTTATTTTAATCCAGACAGCTGATAAGGAATAGTCTGGCACTTTTGATTGCTGACAGCAGTCAAACCACTTAATTCTATTGGTACTTCCTTAATTTTATAGATCTCAAATGATATTATAATTATTTATTTTTGAGGCAGTGTTTCTTTAAATTGCCCTGCTTGGGCTTGAATTTGTGATTCTTCAATCTTGGCCTCTCAAATGCTGGGATTACAGGTGTGCATCATACACCCAACTATATTACTTTAAACCAGAAGTTTCAAAGGCCTGCCAAATAGCTCAGCAGATTAAAGTGCCTGCAAGCAGGTGCAGGTGCTGGGGTTTGATTCCTATGTTGTGCGGGGGTGCCTGTAATCCCAGTACTTGGGAGGCTGTAAGCAGGAGGATCACTACGAGTCCGATCTAGTAGTCAGACCCTGAACACCCTGTAGACCCTTCCCTAAAATATAGCATAAAAATAAATAAACCAGAGGTTTCAAATCCTTGTTCCTTGGGCTCCTTAGAAGTGAAGTAAATGGAAAGAGGCCTGGGGTAAATAGCTTGCAGCTCCTTCCACTCCTCCTCTTCTTCCTTCTTCCTTCCTTTTTTTTTTTTTTTTTTTTAGACAGGGTTTCACTGTGACTGGTCTTGAACTCACTAAGTAGCCAGGCTGGTCAGAAATTCTCAGTGATCCTCCTGCCTTGACCTCCAGAGTGATGGGATTTCTGGTATGCACCACCACACCCAGTCCTTTTAAACTTTTCTTTTGAATAAAAGATTTTGTCTTATCAAGTAAATTTTTTTTTTTTTTTTTTTGGCGGAACCGGGGATTGAACTCAGGCCCTTGCGCTTACCAGGGAAGCGCTTATTCCACTGAACCATCTCCCCAGCCCCAAGAAATTTTTCTTTTTCTTTTTTTTTTTTTTGGCGGAACCAGGGATTGAACTCAGGCCCTTGCGCTTGCCAGGGAAGCACTTATTCCACTGAGCCATCTCTCCAGCCCCTTCAAGTAAATTTGAAGACCACTGTCTTTAGATTCTTGGGGGAAAGGTATGCTAGAAGATACTAACATTGGGTTCAACTACTATTTGAATGCTTACTCTGCTGAGCCTGGAGGAGACTGCAGTGACAGCCACCCGCCCACCCATCCTTGCTGCTCTTTAGCAGGAAAGTCAGATTTGACTGTGAGGGGGATAAACCTTTGAAAAGATAAAGCATGGTAATGATGGCGCTTAGCAGGGGGCTCTACCCAGGCTCCAGGGCAGTGGTTTTCACACCTGACTAGGGTTAGAGTAATCTGCAGGGCGTTCCTAGAAGGGAATCTCTAGTAACTCTTCTTAGGCAGGGAAGAGAAGTGTCAAGGTCTTTCTGAGAAAGTTAAAGATCAGAAAAATGAGAGCCAGTCTGCAAGCTGGGGAAACCCTAAGGACTGAAGGAGAGAGAAGGTGGAGTGTGTTTAGAAAACTGAACAAAGGGGCGGGGGAGATGGCTCAGTAGAATAAGCGCCTCCCTGGCAAGCACAAGGGCCGGAGTTCAATCCCAGGTTCTGCCAAAATAAATAAATAAATAAACAAACAAAACTGAACAAAGCTCAGGGAAAGAGGGTCTAGTATAGCATTCATCGCGTTGCTTGTATTTTTTCTTTTTAGTTTTTTTTTATTTATGTGTGTGTGTGTGTGTGTGTGGCCAGCTCAGCCCACCAGGGGCGGGGCTGGCTGGCATGTGGTGCTGGGGGATTGAACCGCGGTCCCTGTGCTTTGCTGAGCTTGTTCTAAGTAGGTGCTTTAGACCACTGAGCCATCTCACCAGCCCCGCGTTGCTTGTATTGACAACTTTCAACTATAAGTTGAAACCGTATGGCCTTTCGACTATAAGCTTTCAACTATAAGCTTCTTGGTGACAAAAACTTTTTCTCCTGCCTTTCCTGGGAACTTGGTGAATATTTGGTGATCAAGTGAACAAAGTTTCTGACTACAGGAGCTTAGTTCAGAGTAGAAGGTAGAAAAGATTACTAATTATGAAATAGGATAATGGCTTAACTTTTAAAAAAATCTTAAGAGCCCTTGATTTAAATGAAATTTTACAGAAAATTTGTGATACCAAGTGGCCTGTTCTGGTTGTACTTCTGTAGGAGCCACTTCTTAGTTAACCTCTCCCCTTACATTTTTATTTATTTATTTATTTAGTGTGTGTGTGTGTGTGTGTATGTGTGGCCAGCTCAGCCCACCAGGGGGCGGGGCTGGCTGGCATGTGGTGCTGGGGGATTGAACCACGGTCCCTGTGCTTTGCCAAGCTTGTTCCAAGTAGGTGCTTTAGACCACTGAGCCATCTCGCCAGCCCCTCCCCTTACATTTGAAACTATCCAAAAGCACATTTAACTTTTATTATTCTCTCTGCTATTTGTATCCAGTTGACTAAATACTTGTTTTCCTTTCAAGTACTAGCACCCTTTTTCTCTATCTCCTCTGTAGTTAGGTGCCCAGTTGGTCCTGCCAATCTTTGGCAAACGCTTCTCTTGTAGTGTATGTTGAACTAGTGGTTTCAAGAAGTTTCTAGAAGCCTTTTCTCTGGCTTTGCCAACCTGCTCTAGTATCCTGACATTTTCTGTGTACCTACAGCATGGAGGTTGGGATCCAGAGTGTACATCTAAGGGTTGAACTTTGAGAACATCAGGGAAAGAAAGAGGGTACAGATTACAGAGAGCGTTGTGGGGTTCAGGGGCTCTCCCGCTGGTGTTCACTTAGCTAGAGATACAAGGCCATGGAGGTGGAAGGAGAGATGAAAATCGTTGTGAAACCCTGTTAAGGTGCTAGGTGGAAAGTGGATTGGTGGCTCCCCAGAGGAATACAGGAACATTAGGTGGCCTTGGGTTTTGGTGAAAGCTGCTGGTGACCCTGGAATGACATCAGTATGCCCGCGTCTGTGATTTTTACCCCCTCTCTCACTAAAGCTTAGCTGCTTGAGTGTAGACACCAAATAAGGTGGTCGGGATGGGTCAGCTGAGTTGAGTTTGATCAGAGGAGCAAGTGTAAGGGCCAAAGTGTGGATAAAGAGAAGTCAGCGTCGGTGTAGGTGGGGTGAAGTAAGTTACGTGTAGATGAGGTTTAAATAAGCTGAATAGTAATTCTATAAAGGAATTTTAATTCAGACTGTGGAGATTCAGTGAACTCCAAGACAGTTGCATTAAGTTAATGCTAGATGGTAAGTGGACACACCCCAGAAGCTGAGGACATAGGCAGTTTTCTTCTGAGCAGGAGATCCAGAAGGTACATTTTTATATATAGGTATTTTAACAAGGCAGAGTCAAACTGCCTCAGTTGGAATCCCAGCTCTTATCTCCTAGCTGTCTGGCCTTCAGCACATTCTTTGGTGACTCAGTTTCCTTATCTGGAAAATGAGGAAAAACAATAGTAGCAATCTAGTAGTGTTGTTCTGAGAATTCAGTGAGTTAATATAGTATTTGTAAGGTACATAGATAAATGCTACCATACAGAGAGTATACATAAGTACTTATTAAATAAAAGTGGTACCTGCCATATATATCTTTAATTCAATATGTAACTTCTCAGTATGCCGTTCTTCTGATGCCAGGCTACTATTTTCTTTTCCTCTTCTTCCTTCATTACTGTTACCCCATAATTAAACCCTTACTCTATGTTCAGTTGAGTTACACTTTTTTCATTTAAGTCGGAAATTTTTCATTAGGCTTGTAAGTTTATACTAATCACGCAAAAATATATTTTAAATATCCATTTTATGAATTTTATTTTAGCTGTTAAACGTTTAATGAAAGAAGCAGCAGAATTGAAAGATCCAACAGATCATTACCATGCGCAGCCTTTAGAGGTTAGTTCTCCATGTGGATTTTTATACTTTACTATTTAAGAGAAGTGCTTTTTAAAACTGCTTTTTCGTTGCTTCGAGTCATTACAGATGTATTTTTTTTTATTACAGATGTATTTGATGTAGTTTTTGATCTCTGTATTTTATTAGCTTTTGGAATTAGACATTTTAGACGAAGCAGATTTCTGGTCTGTAAGTGGGTCTCAGATACTAACTTAACATTAGGTCTTGAGTGTGTGTCAGGAAAAGTGGAAACAACTCCCGACTGCAGTTTAGAAGACTGTGTCTAAAGAAGGCCTCAGCAGCCCCTCTGGGCTTTTTTCATGAACATCTTTGGCTTTCTTTAATCTCAGTTGTAAAAGGATAACATTTAAATGTGCTTAGTCAGATTTTCATGGTAATAGGATAAAAATGCAATAATATATATACAGGCATTTTACAAACTGAAAAGTATTTGGTAACTGTAAGATGATGTAGCAAATGTTATTAGCAAGTAGCAAATAGTTAATATTACTGACCGTTCATAAACAAATTATAAGGGATAATTTATAAAGATTTAACCCAAATTTATAATAATTGTTATATGATAGTTACCACAAATTGGTATTCCTTCAAGGAAAAATGGTAAATATTTTAGTTCTTATGAGACATAAAACTTAGGTTAAACTGCTTTTATTTATACCTTTTTATTGTTTTTTATATATACCTTTTTATTAAGATTTTGTGCAGTAGAAACTAAGCAATAATATAAAATATTTGATTTTTTCTCACCTGATAATTCCAATATTCATACTAATTGAAATGCTCACACTTTTGACCTTACTAATTCCTTGTCAATTATTATTTTCATTTAGGATAACCTTTTTGAATGGCACTTCACAGTAAGAGGGCCCCCAGATTCTGATTTTGATGGAGGAGTTTATCATGGACGAATAGTGCTGCCGCCAGAGTACCCCATGAAGCCACCCAGCATTATTCTCCTGACAGTAAGAATTCTTGGCTTTTTGAAAAACTTGTGGATTACCTCTTCCCGATGGTTGTAAAATACAGTCAGATGCGTATTTTCATTCAGAAACGAAGTGGACTTGAGGTGTATCCTGAGGGGGCCGCTCCTGTGGCTGCTCATCGTTGGAAACACCTGCTAGAGTAACACTGGCTTGGTTTAGCTCACAGGTCTCTTTCTTAGGCCTGCTGGTAAGGCTCTACAGGACAGCAAACCCTGAAAGACCTGAGAACTTTTCTTTTAGCTTGAGATATTTGCGTGTCCTAGAGGCTGTACTACTCTGAATAGTGTAGCGTGCCGGGCAAGGCAGACCCATCTACCATAAATGCTCCCAAAATGTAAATTGCTGGAAGAAGTTGGACATAAGACCACAGCAGTTTTGAAGTTGTTATTGTCCATAATTCAAGTGGAGATAGAAGAATTGTGGCAAGGCAGATGGAATGACTGGAGTAAACATCAGTTCTTTTAAAATGGCTGTCATGAAGACAGAGGACCTCACTAAAGTGGCCTTGATGAGTATTAAAGAAATCACAGGGGGGCCGGGGAGATGGCTCAGTGGAATAAGCGCTTCCCTGGCAAGTGCAAGGGCCTGAGTTCAATCCCCGGTTTTGCAAAAAAAAAAAAAAAAAAAAAGAAATCACAGGGGGCCTGCCCCTTAGCCAGTTCTTTAAGTGGCTGCTTCAACAAAGCAGTCAGGCTCAGGTTGCTGTGGTTCGATCCCCACAACTCAAGCCAGACAAACCTGCCCTGAAGGCATTGGGAGCAAAAAAAAAGAAATCACAGGAAAATCCCTTGAAGATTTATTTACTTAAAAAAAAAAAAAAAAGAAATAAAGTAGAGCATTATTTTATTTTGCCTTTGGAGATCAGGTGCTGGAATTGTGATTTTTTTTTTTCCCCAAAAAAGAATTCCTGAGAAGCTGATGCATGTGATAAGTGCTAGAGATGCTAACGAATGCATAAATGTTAGGGTGTAGTGGTGAGGCGTCAGTGAAGCACTGTGTGCCCAGTGCTAGGCGTGCTCTGGTCGCATCGTCTGACTTTCCTACTGTCTTATTCTTTTCCTCTCTTTCCAGTGAGAATGATACCTACTTCATTGAATTGATACAGAATTGTTAGTGTCTTATGTGTAGCTCTTAGACTCAACACAGCATCCTAGGCTATTATAGTTTACATCCTCAGCAGAATTTCTTTCCATCTTTACACTTTTTTTTTCAGACAGGGTCATGCTGTTAAATATTTCAGCTGGCCTCAAACTCAGGGCAATCCTCCTGCCTCAGCCTCCTGAGTGCTGGGATTGCAGGTATGTACCACCGTACCTGACACATTTTATTTTTATGTGAAAGAAAACTATTGATCCAACCCCCTTCTTCGTTAAGCTTTCCTTTTCTCATTTCCTTTAATTTTTATCTAAGTTTAATTCTCCCCTATCCTTGAAAAACACAAAACCTTTCAGTTACCATTTTAAGCTGTTTCTGCTTTTCTCTTTGGTAGCTTCTAGGGCCTCCTTACTCCTGTGCAGCCTGTTGCAGTCTGGCTTTCACACATGGTGCCCTGTGCCCCGTGTGGGAGAGCCGTCTGAGGGATCCCACTGCGCTGTCCCAGTTGTCTCGGTTCCTGACCCAGAGGTAGAGCGTGGTGGAACAAGGTGCTCCTCGGCACGTGGCAGATGGGTGCCGCTTTTCCCTACACTTGACACAGTGGGAATGGCATCTGCTTTAGTGCTGAGACACCTGGATTCTGACTAGCACTCTTTCCGTGACACTGTGCCGAGGCTATGGGTTGTCTTTGAAGTTTGCCTTTTTTTTCTGTCAAAAGGAATTTTGTGTGTGGTAAATGTAAGCATGCTATACATATAGCTCCTGGCATATAGACATGGCTAAAAAGTGTTTGGTGTACCGAGATGCGTCGGTCCTGGGAGGAGGGCTGCAAGCAGGGTCCTGGAGGCATCCTGCTGTGTCATGAGTCGCTTCATTCAGTTACTAGACCCTTGGCGATACCCAGTGGCCCAGAGGGAGGTGTGTGGGGAAATGGGTGTGTTTGTTGTGGGGCTGGGGATCCTTAGCAGCAGCTCTGCCCAGTACAGAAATACTTCTGTAGTGTTTTGTTTTGTTTTATTTAATTTTAATTTTTTTTTTTTTAAGCCAGGGATTGAACTCAAGTCCTTGCACTTGCCAGGCAAGCACTTATTCAACTGAGCTATCTTCTCGGCCCCACTTGTGTAGTTAAACAGTGGTCAACTTATAATGGACCCTAGCCCCGCCCTCTTGATATGTTCAGTGTTGTACTCTTTTTGGGTTAGTTCTTGACTTCTGAAAATCTTTTTCAGCTTTTTCTCACCAGATATTTCGTAACCATGAGTCATGTGCGCGCCCCTCAGCTGGGTGCAGCAGAGGATGAGTCAAAGTCTGTGGCCAACGGAAACGTGTGTTCTAAGTCCACCCGTCCTCCCGCTCACTCTTTCCTAAGCTAGTTCCTTTTACAGAGCACCTTAGACTGATGCTTGCTTTTTATCTCAGGAAGGACAGTGTTACCAGCCATCACTGGGTTTATGCTGACAAAAGAAGAGGGAGCCATAGGTTCTGTAGAACACACCCCTCAAGAGAGAAGAGCCTTTGTCTTAAGCATAGATACTCTCTTATGGCATCAGTGTGCTTACATTTCACCTGCCTGCTCGACATCATTTATAGTTCTTCCACTAAGCCATGAGATGCAGCTGAAGTCATTATCTCTTTTTGTTTTCATTACCATACAAAATTTACTCAAATTACATCCATTGGAAGTGGTGAGATCACAGCTAGAGAACAGGTCACCCTGTAGCAAGTCTATTTACAGAATCCATCATAAAAGCTTTTTTTTGTTGTTCATTTTTTTAAAAATTATTTATTTATTACATTTTTATTGAGTGTGTATGTGTGTGTATGTGTGTGGCCAGCTGAGCCCACCAGGGGGCGGGGCTGGCTGGCATGTGGTGCTGGGGGATCGAACCGCGGTCCCTGTGCTTTGCCAAGCTTGTTCCAAGTAGGTGCTTTAGACCACTGAGCCATCTCTCCAGCCCCTGTTGTTCATTTTTTATACATTATATTACATATTTTCTTTTTTAAACTAGCATATAATACAAAGCTAAACTGATTAGTAGTATGCCTACTCCCAATCTTGGGAGAAGTACTTCCTTTTTATAGAATCATGTACCCTGTAGGAAGAGAAATTCCTGCACTGACAATTTCCATCCAACTTCCTTCACAAGGCATCGTCCCTCCGATCCTTCCTTCTCATACACACAACTTGTTACGCATGCACTGAGTTCCTATGTCCTTTTCCTGAAATCCAATGCTTTAAATACTGCAATTCTATTTACAAGTCTACATGTAAGACAGAAATGAAAACAAGAACCACAACAGCAACAACAAAACACAAACAAGGTAACACTCTTAAAAAATTACAAACCAGCTGGGAAATATTTTGGCAGTGTGTACAAGTTAATTGCTAGTTTTGTATAAATTGCTCAATAATGAAAAAGTGAGTAGACTACATATCAACTTAAAGGATTGCTATGTACAACTTTACATATAAACACACCTAACACTGTTTGACAGCTTACGTGTTGCCCTTTATACACTTTATTTTCTAAGGCTCACGCAGTCATAATGTGCACACTTGTAACTTTTAGCCTTTCGTGTGTGAGATTTAGTAGCAGCAACTCAGTGGTACCATGAAACCTGCCTACTTACTACTTAAAGTAACACAAACACTGTAGTACTAACCCACTTGGTGTGCCAGATACTATGGGGAAAGAAAATGACTAACGCCAACAGAATACAGTATGGACGTCAAATTCATGTACCCCAGTTAAGCTCATGAACTGGAAAAATCATATGCACGCAAGAATTTTTAAGACTTATTATATTCCTTTCTTTTTTTTAAGCAATAAATACAGCATTACATTACGAAAAGGTTCAACGAGAAAGTCAACACAACACACAACAACCTAGCCAGGTGAGCTCAGTCTTTAGACTTTGGGAAAAAATCAGCTCTGTGCAGCTGGCAAAAAGAAGGAGCCAGAGCTGGAAGCAGAGGCAGCTACCCAGATGAGATAAATACGGGGCATAGGGGAAAGCTTGGCATAAATGGTTTCCCATGCAGGAGAAGACCCCACAGTGCACTTCCAGTAGGCACTCAATACGAAGCTCCCCTCCTTCCTCCACTCCAGCGCTTCATCTTGGACCACACGGATATTCTGTACCAAGTCCAGTGTGTGTGAGGGGATGAGGCTGAAGAAGAGAGAAGAAGATAGTCTGCACCTTTGTTTTTCTTCTCAAACATACACCACACACACCCACACACAGAGTTTAAAGTGCTGGTGTCATCTGTCTGGACCCCACCACCACTTCGCATATTGTGGAAATCTATCTAGAGTAAACTGGCTGGGGTTCTTGTGGTTTATTAGTATTTGTTTCCTAAGGGATACCATCAATTCAATCAAATGCGTAGGAGTCCAGTGCCTACCATGTGCCTCCAATGGGCCAGGCACAAAACATTTCAATTCAAATGTTCGTTCGGAGGTTAGTTTTTTGTGACTTCCTCATTTCTGCAGTCCTTAGTATCCAAGTAGTGGATTTGAGGTACAAGGCCACATTCCCAGGAGGAGATGGCCAGTGCCATCTGCCAGTGGGAATGCCATTCCTGGACACAACTGTGGGATCTGCAGTGGACAGGAAGCTTCCAACTTGGGACACCATTCCTGAGGAGAGAAGAGGGAGATGCCCTGGCGTTCTATCACTTTGCTTAGTCCAATTTCCTTTAGTCCAACATGCTTCTTCACGGGGGAAGGGGAGCTGGATGTGACCAGGACTCTTCTACCCCGACAGAGTGGGAGTGCTCTGCTCTTTCTAGCTTGAGGAAGTGCCCCCCACAGAATGCCACCCACAATGGGGATGTCCTCCCTAGAGGCCTCTCCATCTGACCCATCCTGAGAAGTGGTCCCCCTGAGTGTGGCATAAAAGCCCTTTCCCTGGTCACAGGGGCCTGGGAAGCCCAAGGACGGAGGGGGTCCGTGCCTGCTGCTCTTTGGGACTGCTTCAGTCTGTGGGCTACCCATGTCACAGAGCTCCAGGCTGGACTGGCCCTGAGCCTCCTTCCCCAGAAAGGAAGCAAGATGGGGCAGTGGTTTTTGCGGAGGCTGGTAGACCTCGGGTCACACAGGTTTAGATGCTCTGATAGGCAGAGGTCCTCTCCCTCTGCTAAAGCAATACAACTTTTCAAAAACCGCTTCAAAGTAAACAGTGACTTGAAATGGTGATGGGTGCCACAGGAATGCTTAAATGGCAGCTAAAGAAAAAAGTCTAAAACAATCCACAAAGAACTGGTAAGTAGGCATCTGCCACAAAGCAACTGGAAACTCACAAATACACTGGGGACACTGGAGCGGGAGTAGGAGTGGGAAAATGGAGACAGGAAAATCCACAACAGCTTTGAGTGACAGAACTCCACTAGTCCTCTGGACCTGAAACAGGTACTTTGAAAACAGGTTCTTCACCTGAAAGGCTGTGGAGGTTCTTGTGACCTCCTTACTAAGACACATTATCTCTACTCTACCTCTTCTGTGTCCCTGACTTAGTAAGTGGCATCTTCCTTATGAAAACCACTTTTATCTCACAGCCTTTCCTCTGTTCTTTACCAGTGTCTAGTCAGGCGGCAGGTCCTTAGAGTCTTAGCCTCTTCCTTTTTTTCTCTTCAAGATCCTTAGCTCAACATAGCTCTGTACTGGGTTAGAGGACATCAGTATGTTTTCATGTATTGATTACTTAGACTCCCGTTGTATAAATCAATTTCAAAAAGGTGCTGATACAACTTCTAAAAACAGCTTTTATAATCCATTCAACATCCACCAAACATTTTAGAATCTCTGTAAGAGGCCAAAAATGTGTTCCCTTAAAGTTATATTTGTTTAAAAATTATCTTTAGAATTATTGTTCACATATAAATATAAAATATATTTACATTAGAAAGTATTAAACAGTAAACACACCTGTATAATTTGTATTGTTTATTTGTAAGGCTAACGGACGATTTGAAGTGGGCAAGAAAATCTGTTTGAGCATCTCAGGACATCATCCTGAGACCTGGCAGCCGTCATGGAGTAGTGAGTATTAGTTAATAGTAAATTTAAGGGCTGGGGAGGTAGCTCAGTGGCATGGCGCCTGCCTAGCAAGCGCAAGGTCCTGAGTTTGAGTCCTGGTTCCAAAAAAATGAATTTAAATCTTCTAAAGCTTTATTCAGTTCATAATAATAGATAAAAATACACTCTTGAGATCAAAGTTGTTTTGGGTAAATAATTTGATATTAGTGAATAAATAATAAAAATGCTTTTTCATGTATAGATTTTTACCAGCATATTAATACAACTCCCCTATTTATACCTCCTTTTAGTCTTCTTTTCCCCCATTTTAGAGTAAACCCAGTTTCCTTTACAAAGCAGTTTAGATTGATGTTTCCTTTTTGTTTCAGTAAGGACGGCGTTACTAGCGATCATCGGGTTTATGCCAACGAAAGGAGAGGGAGCCATAGGTTCTCTAGATTACACCCCTGAAGAGAGACGAGCACTCGCCAAAAAGTAAGTGTTGCCTCCCGTGCTTTGCTAAGGTCTGAGTGCCTTTGTGGGCCATGGTTGTTAGGAAGCAGGCTCTGTCTCTTACCATGTCGGAGACCTTGGCTCAGAGCCTTGCCTTACTGTTGCTATTGGACAAGCCCAATTCTACTGATTGGGGTTACCAGAATCTACACAATTTCATGATTTTGGTTCTTGGGGAGGGGGACTAACGCAGGGCTGTGTTGGGCAGGAGCTTGTCTACTGAGCTATGCTGCCAATGCTGCTATTTCATTTTGTAAAAGCAGTTGCTAGTATTCTCTTAAGATGCATTTCATAAAAAGAAAAAGGGGGGGGGGCCCTGGGGAGATAGCTCAGTAGAACAAGTGCTTGCCTGGCAAGCGCAAGGGCATGAGTTCAATACCCGGTTCGGAAAAAAAAAAGATGCATTTCATTATAGTGCGAGACATAGTCTCCAGGAAAGTATTTCTGATTATTTGTCTCCACTTAGAAGGTATTAGAGAAAAAAAAATAACCTAAAGCAATTACTTTTATTTAGCTTTTCATGAGATTAAAAACTTCTTGAGCATTGGGAGGGAATCCACTGATATCTACAGTATCTACCTCATTGCACTTACACTGTAAAGATCAGAGTAAAATAGAGACTTTATCAATTTGTGACTGCTCCATGTTATTACTTGCTTTTTTTGAGACAGTGTCTCACTCTCCAGTTTAGGCTGCCCTTGAGCTCACTTGTAGCCCAGGCTGGCCTCCAACTTGCAGTGATCCTCCTGCCTCAGCCTCCCCTGTGCTGGGATTACAGATGTGCACCACCACACCAGGTGTTATTACCTGCTTTTTCTGGATGAATATTTTATCAACATAACTAAGATTATTCAAGTTAAAGTCATCTTTCCTTTAATTAATATTGAGACCTAGTTCTTTTTTTTTTTTCTTTTCATTATGTTTATTACTTCCTTAGTATGAAGAGGAGTTTTAGTTTGATATAATGTCAATTGACTATTTTTGCTTTTGTTTGCTGTTCTGGGTATCATATCCACACAATTATTGAACATCTCAGTATCCTGAAAAATTTAATGTATTTTTCTTCTGATAGCTTCAATTTTAGAAGAAAATAGGATTTTCTTTATTTCCAAAAATGTGTTGAAAATTTTGAACTTTGAATATTAAATATATTGTTATCTATTTCCAGCCCCATTTATTATTCAACCATTCAATATTGTAATTAGATCTTAATCTCAGTTTATTCTAGTAATGCTTTAAAGTTTTACTCTAAATTACAAATAAATGTTCCTTAATTATTATTATATATTTGCTACTAAGTTAGTAGCAGTTATATTTATATCTAAACTAATTCCAATGATAAAGTTCATATAATTGTAGTTTTTAAGTCTTTTCCTATGTCTATGTGATATGCTTGAAACGTGAAATTTGCTCTTAAATTTGTCCAATTTCTTTTGTTCTATTTATTGTTCTGTATTTGCCTTTGTTCTGTTTGTTCTGTATTAGTTTTCTCTCCTTTACCTCTTATTATTGATAGAAGAAGTATACAACAAATCTACATTGAATGATGCCCATTTTCTCTTTGAGCCATTTTTAGATATTGCTCACTTTTCATTGGTTACAGATTTCAGAGGCTTCATTGAGTTCTTTGTTTCTTTGTTTATTTTTTTTTTGAAGTATTGAAGGCTATGTTACATGCAGATTATTTCAACCAATTTAACATGCCACTTTATTCTATATCTTTGTTTTGTTAGTTCAGTCTTTTGCTTTGCTTTAGTATCTACTTTCTTTTTACCATCAAGAGAATCATTTCATACAGTAACAAAAGTCTGCCACCAGAAAAGTGTATATAATTAATTTAACCTACTTTTTTTTTTTTTTTTGCCAGAACTGGGGATTGAACTCAGGCCCTTGCACTTGCCAGGAAAGCACTTATCCCACTAAGCCATCTCCACAGCCCCCCAATTTAACCTACTTTATTATATTAAAATAATAATGAAACTATCAATTGACATCCGTAGCACACATGACAACTTACAATATTTTTCTGTTCTATGTTATTTCAGATTATTTAAGGAGTATTATAAAGCAAAAACTGTCATTATTTTAGCCGCATTTTATCCTGTTTTACTAAGAACATAAATATTCAGGGATTATAAGTGAGTCTGTTGTCGGCCCACCATGTACTTCAGGGACACCCTTGAGCTTCACAGTTGTAATCTGGTCTGTGGCTCTTTTCCATACGAGACATCTTCCTGGATCATCCTTAAAATCCATCAAGAAACACAATGCTGTGATATACATACCTCCTGTTCATGTTATACTTTCCAATATTTAGTCTATAGTGGTTCTGTCCATAATCAGCTGGCTTCAAGGCAGGGTGGCATGGAAGAGGGGCAACAGTTCACAACCACATGAGGCTTTGAGTGGCTATCCAGCCACAAACCTTGGCAGGAAGCGATGGGATGTTGCTTCAAAGAGTTCACTGCTGAGCTATCTCCCTAGCTCTCCAGTTCCAGTATTAATGAGGACCATGTATACTTGTGATAGGCTATGTTGAACTTCTTCAGTCGCCATACATAGAAGTACTCATGAGATTCTCCGAGACGGGAGACTTCAACTACTGCCTACAATATTTGGACTGGCATCATGTATGAAAAGATCCTTTAAAAACTACTCCAAATACAGCTTCTCTAATTGTAATGGAACACCCATCTGGGCTAGGACTGGGTCTGAGACCTAGTTCTTGATTTTGATAATTTCCTTGTATTGAATCTGCTACTTGCCACTCTTCAGAAAAATTACTTTGAATTGCAGCACATTTTACCCTAGCACAGCCCAAAGTAGGCCTCCATAGATAGCTCATGGTAGAGGACTTGCCAACCCTGGATTTCCAATACCAGAAAATAAAAAATAAAATTATATTTTAATCTCTGGAAGAGTTGGTAGACACTCTGGTATTATTAGCAGCTATTATTTTTAAACCTTATTCCCAAATTCTGGAGATGTACTTTACTTGAAGCTATTGTTCACAGGTTACAATATGTAGTTTACATATACAATATTTTTTTTTGATTTATTATGTTGACTTTCTAGATAATTTTATCCAGTTAATGTGCAACACTTTTTACAAATAAACTTAGGGGCCGGGGAGATGGCTTAGTGGAATAAGTGCTCCCTGGCAAGCACAAGGGCCTGAGTTCAATCCCTGGTTCCACCAAAAAATAAATAAATAAATAAACAAACTTAGTTTCTTACTGTTACGTATTTTCTCAATTCTGAGTTTTCAGTCTGTGATAGAAGCCCTTTTAGAAATGGTTTTGCAGGGCCGGCATGATAGCTCAGGGGACTAAAGCACCTGCTTAGGCAGAGATCCCCGGTGTGCTGTGCCAGCCCCATCCGTGGGGGGCGCTGAGAGTGCGATTTAGACTGGGCATGGTGGTGCGTGCCTGTAATCCCAGCGCTTGGGAGACTGAAAACAGCCTGGGAGGATCACTACGAGTCTAGTCTATGTAGTGAGACCCTGTAAACCCTGTCCTAAATACAGGGAAAAAAGAAAGAAAGAAAAAAAGAAAAAGAAAAGAAAAAAGAAATGATTTTGCATTCAGCTGTGGTAACCTAATATCCTTGTGGCTAAAAATATACATTAAAATAAACAGTCTCCTGTAACTGTCATCTGACTTCTCAGTTAAAAGTGAATATATTGTAAGGAAATATGAACAACAATGTTGCTTTTGGAGAAGAAAATATAAAATATTAAATATAATTATAAAAACTCAAATTTTTATATTTTATAAATTTTTTTGTTGCTAATATTTTTTTCATACATAGTTACTAATTGTCTTGGTGAATTAGTACATATATGTATCAAATATTGATTTTTTTTAACTTTTTATCGCCTCCTTTATCTACTTCTTTTTCTTTTTTTTTGACAGAACTGGGGATTAAACTCGGGCCCTTGTGCTTGCCAGGGAAGTGCTTATTCTACTGAGTCATCTCCCCGGCTCCCTCTACTTTTTATATTTTATAAATTTAAACACGTTCTTCAAGACCTTAGGCTTTTAAATTACCAACCTGGAAGCACCATAGAAAGAAGTTTTACTTCTTTTTTTTTGTTTGTGATGCTGGCTTGAACTCACAGCATGGCACATGGTGGGCAGCCTCTCTACCCTGAGCTGTATCCTCAGCCCTAAAATTTTTTTAGAAAGTTTAATAATGTGTTCCTGCAGACTGTACATGTCTAATTTCAGTTGCTAAAATCCTGGTAGCACTCTTGCGAGGCTTAGGGCAGTTGAAAATGCATTTGGAATACAAAGGGGATCTGGGAGAATTTTATCTAGGGAAATAGATGAGTTAACAGGTATAGTCTAGAATGTGTTTGACATAATTAATGATAAGGGGCCAGGGAGATGGCTCAGTAGAATAAGGACTTCCCTGGCAAGCACAAGAGCCTGAGTTCAATCCCCGGTTCTGCCAAAAATACAAAATAAAATAAAGATATAATCAATGATAAATTCATTCTTAGTATTTTTCACAAGTTCTTCGAAGTCTTCCACAAGACAGCTAAGATAACTGCTACTAATTTCTATCAGTTCATTGAAAGGAACGGTTAGTGCTTACATTGTTGATTAGTCTTACACGCCTGTATCTGGTAATCTGAGTAAATGCTTTGAAGATAATATGCAATATAATAACCACTGTTAATTTCCTATCTTGTCTTGAAATTCTGTGTCTTTTTTATTATCTTTAAAATAAAAAAAATTGGGCTGGTGAGATGGCTCAGTGGTCTAAAGCACCTACTTAGAACAAGCTAAGCAAAGCACAGGGACCACGGTTCAATCCCCCAGCACCACATGCCAGCCAGCCCGCCCACTGGTGGGCTGAGCTGGCCACACACACACACACACACACACACACAAATAAATAAATAAAATAAAAAATAAAATAAATGGGCTGGGGAGATGGCTCAGTGGAATAAGAGCTTCCCTGGCAAGTGCAAGGGCCTGAGTTCAATCTCTGGTTCTGCAAAAAAAAAAAAAAAAAAAAAAGAATAGTCTTTGTAAGTTTTTTCAAGAAATAGTGAAGTATATTTTTAGTTGATTTTCTCCTAAAAGATTGAGTTTTATAACGGGCCTAGGACAGTATCAGATAATTTATACATTATGTAACTATATAGATTTGAAATTTTTTTTTTTTTTTGTGGAACCAGGGATGGAACTCAGGCCCTTGCACTTGCCAGGAAAGCGCTTATTCCACTGAGCCATCTCCCCGGCCCCTGAAATTTATTTTGGTTTTGGTAGATTCTTTTTTTTTTTAAATTTTATGTATTTATTTGTGTGTGTGTGTGACCAGCTCAGCCCACGAGGGGGCGGGGCTGGCTGGCATGTGGTGCTGGGGGATTAAACCGCGGTCGCTGCGCTTTTGCTAAGCTTGTTCTAAGTAGGTGCTTTAGACCACTGAGCCATCTCACCAGCCCCTAGATTCTTGAATAAAAGAAAGAAATCTAATACCTGTACCTTTTTTTAAAATACAAAATTGTTTCCTGCCAGGTCCCAAGATTTCTGCTGTGAGGGCTGCGGCTCTGCCATGAAGGATGTCCTGCTGCCTTTAAAATCAGGGAGCGACTCGAGCCAGGCTGACCAAGAAGCCAAGGAACTCGCGAGACAGATCAGCTTTAAGGTACCATAAATTCCTACATAAGTCCTAATTATCTAGACTTTGTATTTATTAGTCAGTTTTGGGTAGAAAGAAGGCAATATAGTTTTGCAATAGGTTTCAGAAATAATTCTTTGTTCTCATAAAACTCACACTCATATATGCATTACGCCATAGCAGTTAAAACCTGGACCCTGGTATATATATCAAGGTTCAGATTTCAGCTTTGCGTCTTAGTAGTACGTCAGGTGTGTATTTTTTTCTCACCCATAAATAATATGGATGTCCATTCCATTGGAAGGTTGTAAGGATTGAGCTAATAGAGGTAGTACATGTGTTACGTTGAGATCTACTCCGGTGCTTAATAAGTTCTAGCTGTTATTAGAGACGATGTAGATAAGTAGCAAGAATAAAATTATAACCAGGTGTGGTGGCACAGCCTTGTAATCCTAGCGCTTGAGAAGCTGAGACAGGATTGCTGCAGATGTTAGACCAGCCTGGACTACGTAGTGAGAACCTGTCTCTTAAAAAAATTATCTTTGTCCTAATTCTATTCACCCAAAATAACACTTAACATTTGCTGTCTCTCTGTTTTATTCCTTTTCTTCATGTTTTACCCAAACATAATATCTATGTAGAATTTTAATACTTTGGCTGTACTTATAGCTCTGGAATTTAATTAGTGCATAAAAAAATCAGCCTGCATTAAGCAGCATGCCTCCTCTTCCCCTTCTTTATTTCTCTTTATCCTGTCTGTCCTTCTGGGTCTAGTTCTTGGAAATTTTTTCTTCTATTTTACTTTTGTCTTTTTTTTTTTTTTTTTTGGTACCAGGGATTGAACTCGGGACCTTGTGCTTGCCAGGCCAGCACTTATTCTACTGAGCTATCTCCTCGGCCCCTCTCTTCTATTTTATTGTAGTGCCTGAAAAAGGAGGTATAAATGTTGATTATAATTTCTTCCTTCAGAGGGTTAGACCCAGATATGCGTTTTTTGGTTTTTTTGTGGTACCGGCGATTGAACTCAGGACCCTTGCTAGGCAAGTGCTTATTCTACTGAGATATCTCCCTGGCTCTAGAACTTTGCAGATTTAAGAAAATATGTGTACTGTATATTAACTTAATTTGCAATAGAATGTGGAACAGCACCTCATAATCAAACCTATTAATTAGGGGCTGGTGAGATGGCTCAGTGGTCTAAAGCACCTACCTAGAACAAGCTAAGCAAAGCACAGGGACTGAGGTTCAATGCCCCAGCACCACATGCCAACCAGCCCCGCCCCCTGGTGGGCTGAGCTGGCCACACACACACACACATAAATAAATAAATAAAAATTAAAAAAAACCCTATTAATTAATATTTCCTCAGCAAGCCTATGACTTTACACTAATCAGGAACAGAGGCTATTCTAGGGGCTGGGGAGTGTTGCTCAGTGGTAGAGCCCTTGTCTAGTTGTGTGAGGCCTTGGGTTTGATCTCCAACACTGCCAAAGTTAAGCTAAGCTCAGTGGCAGAGTGCTTGCCTGGCATATTGGCATGCTTCATTTGATCCTCTGCTCTGGAAGAAAAAAACCACAAGACTTAATTGTCTCCCATGACTTCACATCAGGCTTTACCTAGAAATAGCCCCAAAAGCTTTTTATGAGAATTTTCTAGAATTATAGATTATGAACCATGATACTGGTTTTGTTCCTAAGTAACAGCTCCTTGAGAACAGGGATTGTCTTGCCCTGTAATACCTAGCCTAGTGTCAGACACGTAGGGGCTGAAGGCTTTACTGATTGATAGCAGCAATTACAACAAATCCAAGAGAGGAATAGTTTGTGCACTGTTCTATGTGTTTCTTCTTGTAACATTGTTCTTGGGTATTTCTTGTTACAGGCAGAAGTCAATTCATCTGGAAAGACTATTGCTGAGTCAGAGTTAAACCATTCTTTTTCATTAAATGATTTACAAGATAACATACCTACAACATTCCAGGATGCTACGGCCAGCACGTCGGTATGACTCTTACTTTTTTTTTTAATTTTTATTTATTTATGTGTGTGTGTGTGGCCAGCTCAGCCCACCAGGGGGCAGGGGTGGGGCTGGCTGGCATGTGGTGCTGGGGGATTGAACCGCGGTCCCTGTGCTTTGCTGAGCTTGTTCTAAGTAGGTGCTTTAGACCACTGAGCCATCTCACCAGCCCAACTCTTACTTTTTTCATATATATATGTATATAGTTGATCTCAGATGAAAATATGAAAATTTTGGTACCTGAAAAGTTGGGTTTTAGCCCAGCTCTAATGAATTATACAGTGGTATCTCAGATCACAATCTCAATTCTCTTCACAATTCTGACTGTAAACCGAACTGAGAAAAAACAAGATCAAATTTTCCCATGTAAGGTCAACATTGAACCTAACCATTGAAATTGATTTGGTTCTCATTCAACTCGGTTTGCAACCAGAATCATGGAAAGAATCAAGCTTGGAAACTAATGTATCACTGTATCTTTTTATTATTATTTTTTAAATTCAGTACAGGGTCTGCAGGATTCTATCCTGGGCTTTAGTTTTTTTTTAACTTTTAAGTCCTGTTGTCCTAGAATTCTATGATTTTTGAGAGGTTAGTTTCAGTATATTGCTAGACTCTGAATAAAACACTTTCTAAATGAACACTGTTGTTGGCAGGTTTATTAAATTACATTAAAGTACTGGCTTGAG